AGTGATTTTTGTGTTGAATTGACGATTGATTTGATTAAAAAAATAAATTAACATGTTAAAAGTTTCAGATTTATGTTTTATTAAATTAATCCAAATACACCTTGAATAATCATCAACAATAGTTAAAAAGAAACGTGATCTATTTTTAGAAGGTCTAGAGAAAGAACCCCAAATGTCAACATGAATTAATTCAAAGTAATGAGAAGAACAAAATGTACTTTGAGAAAAAGGAAGGCACGACTGTTTAGCACGAGCATGCATCACAAACAAAATCTTTATTTGTAATAATATTCGGAGAATTCTTAACCATTAAATCAAAATGGGACTTAGATGGATGACCAAGGCGAGAAAGCCATGGATCAAATTTATTACAATGCTTAAAATAAAAAACAGAATTAGAAACTAAATCTACATCTAGATTTAAAAAAAAAAAAAAAAAAAAAAACCCCATTTCGAGCATTACCACGACCAATCTTCTTCTTCGTTGCTCGGTCCTGAAATATACATTCAGGAGATGAAAAAATTACATCACAATTTGTACGTTGACCTTGTTAATTGTGAAATAGATAACAAATTGAATTTTAATGACAGAATGTGGAAAACATTCGTGAGAGTAAGTGATGATGAACAATGAACCGTGCCTATGTGTGTCACAAACACCTGAGAACCATCGGGCAATTGAACTAATATATTTTTATGAACAGTAGAATATGAAGAAAAAATTGAAAGAGATGTACATATATGATTAGAAACACCTGAATCGATAATCCAATAAGAGGACAAACAAGTAAAAGTTGTACCTACCAAATGGGCTGATGATCCACCGTATTCCTAATTGGCCAGAAGTGCAAAGAGCTTGTTGTATTGTTCAGATGTCAATTGACAAAAGTAGTGGAAGTAGATGATGGTGGCCTTGATTTCTTTATCTGCTTATCTGGGAAGCCATGGATCTGGTAGCATGTAGCAAGCGTATGACCATGCTAATTACAATGTTCACAAAAATGACGTTGGCGCTTTTCAGAAGGCCAAGATAGTGGTTTAAACGCTTGAAGCGCTGCCGAATCAATGGTAGTACTGGTTCGAATGTGAATCTCTTGTTGTTTTTCTTCTTGACGTACCAAATTATAGATACGTTGAATTGAAGGAAACGACTCCATCAAGATAATTTGGCTACAAATAGTTGAAAAATGATCATGGAGTCCTTGAAGAAACTCCATTGCATGATCTTGATTTTGTTGATCAATAATGCTTTTAGCATTACCATAAATACATAGAGTGACGGATATAATGGAACTGGGTTCGTCCCATAAAGATTTAAGTTCTGTGAAATATAATGAAACAGACATACCTTCCTGCTTGAAGGCAGAAAATGATTGTTTCAATTAATAGATTTTAGGAGCATTTGATTTAGAAAAATGGTCCTTCAGATCTGTCCAGATTTATAATGCAGTTTCAGTATACTGGATACTTGGACGGATCTCAGGTGAGACGGAATTTAGAATCCAACTTCCAACCAAATCATTACATCGTTTCCAATTGGAAATATTGTTTTTCTCCTTTGGAATTGGGAGTAACCCGTCAACAAAACTAAGTTTGCTTTTTGCACGAATTGCCATTGTTACTGCACGACTCCATGATCCATATTTGTCTCCTGACAATAGAGTTGTAACAAGAACAGTAGAGGGGTTATCTGAGTGATGAATGGCATAAGAAACTATTTTGATTGGTGTTGATAATGGTGTGGTGTTAGTGGCAATATTTTCGTTAGACATGGTGAAGGAACAGAAAAAAAAAAAATGTGAATATAAGGCTAGAAAATGATATTGTTTATTACTTTGATACCATGTTAAAAGGTGAACTCGATAAAGAGAGGAGGAAAATGTATTGTGAACATGTATTTCATTCACTTGCCATGTAATATACATAGGCAGGTTTACAAGATTCAAATATTCATAAAAATAGGAAACTAACAACTCTGTTACTGTAACTAAAGCCTAAACTAAAAGATTGGACTGTTATGAACTCCTTAATTTCGTCCAATAATTATCGATATAAAATTGTTTTATTGTTGTCTGATGATCTTCAATTTTTCTTAAGATCAATTTAAAAATATCAAAATTAAAAAGGTCCCGTACTTTTTCAAGAAAACAAATTCTTTTGATTTTTTCAAAAATTGTAGTTGGAAAATCCTTTCAACTAGTTTTGCTAGTTGCAAAAACCAATCAATTTGAGATACAGTAAAATATTTTTCCCAATCGATTGTCAAACATATTTGAATACAAAGTTGTTTGAGTTGTTCTGTCATTGCTGTTTGTTCAACAATTAGATTGGAGAAATAACTTAGGTGTTGCCTAAATTTTCTCTTATGATTTATGAGATAGGCTTTCCATGCTCCATTGATATCATCATAGAAATTGTTTAGAATTCCCGCATTATAGAAGTTTTTTATTTCCACAATATATTGGGTTTTTGAAAAAGCTTTTTGTGAGGCTTGACCCACATTAAAAAAATACTTTTTTAGCTTCTTCAAATGTGTCATATGCCCTGAAACATGCTCCATGATATTTGTTTATTTGGGTGTGACATTCGTTCCATGTAGCATAGATTCCTGATTGAAATCCAGCAAAAACTACAAACCATTTGTTTATGTATTGTGGTTGATATAAAAAAGTAACTAGTTGTTTTGTTTTTTTTAGCAATTGTGATCTAGTAATCTTGAGGCTGTTTGCCTCTTTCTTCATTCATCTGAAGAATAAAAATCATCATTATATATTTTGATATGATTCCTGCTTAAAAAATCTGCTAGGAAATTGTTAGCACTTTTTATATATTCAATGGTAAAAAAATACTAGGCAATAACATTGTACCACTTAAAGTGTCATCCTTTCAAATAATTCTTTTTGTTTATAAGAAAAAAATTTACCGCTTGATAATCGAAGAACTCTGTGGACATTCTGGAGAAATACTCCTCACAGAAGATGCAAGTTTCACATTATCAAAAATTGAATTATGCTATATTTGTTGTTTTGAAGAGTACGTGTAGTTATTCAAAAAATACTTCTGTCTCTTACCACCTTCTAGTACAGAATATTGGTTAGGACAATTCTTTGTTAAACTTCCAAGTCCATGGGATGAAATAGCTACCAAAGGCTACCATATTTTTTTGTCAGAATAAATAAAAATGACAATCTTGGTTTTCGAATCAACTATGTTCTTCGGCTCATAAACGAAAAATGTTTAAAAACCAAAGCCAAGAAACAAATTAAGAATCAGATCAAAAAACAACACATATGATCAAAAATGTTGTAATAAGATTCTTAAAGAAGATTGGAAAATAGGATGCAGAATCGACCGACCCTATCAAAGAAAATCCTTTTGTAAAAAACGATTTAAATGGAAAAAATGGAAGCCTGGTAAAAAAACGAGTTCAAAAGAAAAAGAAGTATATTAAAAGAATTACTTCAAAATTTAAAACCCCTGCAGAAAAAAAAAAAAAAAGTTGCAAATGTTATATTTGTCACAAAAAAGGTCATATAGCACCTAATTGCCCAAAAAAAGGTAAAGAAACAACCAAGATGATAAAGATGATCAACGAAAAAGATCTTTGTGTCATCTATGGTGATGAGCTATCTGACACTAACACTATTCTATATGAAATAGATACCGAAGAAGAATCCAGTAAGGAACAAATATTCATGTTACAATTTAATTCTCATCCTGATGAGTCCTCTAGAATGGTTAATTCCACCAATTGAGCCATGTTATTGTGTTAGCACCATGTGATACCATCGAGAGATGCTATCATCCACCATGACATCTAAAAAAAAATTCCACCATGGCATCTTTTGTTACATTGACGTATGTCAAGTTATTTTCCAACTGTACGTATAAAATGCTACAGTGATTATATTTATTTAAGAAATAATATTATAGTATAAATGATTGATGTAATTACGTCACATGTTATTTACTTTCTCAAATTTGTTTCCGGGTGAATGATAAATTAGCTCAAAAGTGAGGTATTTGATAAACCTACAGAGGTTTGCAATATGTAGGAAATGCTTGTCCCGCATGGAAAAAAATGTTGAAACTATTTTGAGTTTAAATAAGTCAAGTATGAGATTTGGGTTTGCGCCCAAGGGCACCTAAGTTTTTAAGAGTGGGACGACCTAGGCAAGTTTGGATCCAAACCATCTACAGCGCGCGTCTTGCCCGATCCAGCTTCGGCTTTTGATCATGTTCTTTTATTTTATAGTTTTTATTTTTTTATTTTTTTTATTATATTAAACTTTATAGTTTACATAATATTTAAATAAATAATACCATAGTAAATGGTATACTTAGACCATATTTTGAACTACACAAATATCATTACAAATACAAAAGTTGTTTTTAATAGTGAATGAATCTCATGACAACATTGGAACTCTCTGGATAAAATATGTCTTGGCTAGATTATTATTATTATAATTATTTTTGTGTTAATATATTTATTTAAAATCATGCCAAACAACAAATAGGTATAATATTTCTTTTTTTATTTAATTTAAAGAAAAAAATTCGTTAACAAATGAACCTAGATAAAAAAAAGATAATTCCACACTTTTTGTTTTCGTACCCGTGTTTTGACGTATTTTTATTTATCAGGTAAAATATTTTTTAATGTTTTGACGTATTTTTATTTATCAGGTAAAATATTTTTTAAAGGTGTAGATTGGGGGTCCATCCAGTAAACTTTCAAAAATTAATAATTAAATTATTTTTATTAAGTTCTATTATTTTACGAACAAATAAATGAAACCTAGAAAAAAATAATTTCACGGACATTTTTTATTTAACATACTAGATAAATTTCATTCGTAATATTCCAAAGGCAGACTTGATGCGCATTTTAATCACGAAGGCGGGATTGCTGGACTAGTGGCAGTAACGAAATATTGTGAAAGAACAAGGGTCAATACACTGAGACCGTTCCTATATGCTCTGCCATTGTGGCAAACGGACGAACACCAGGGGCACCGGGGCTGCTTGGGAGACATCAAAACCAGAGTGTCGGAGAGAGAGGCGGGACTACCCACTCCAAACCATCCAAAACCCCCCTACACTCTCCCCTACTCTCTCTTTCTCCTCCCTCAGCTCACTTTCTCTCTCTATATCGCCTTACTTATCAACCAAGTCTATCCCATCGTCGCTCATTCTCTCTCCATACGCACCCATACATATAAACACATCCTCAGATCACTCTCTCCCTTTATCTACTATGCGCCACTCTTGGCAGGGTTAGCAGAAGCATCGCAGTCTCGTCGAACTTGAATGTAAGCTTCTTCGTTCCTATTATCTTTATTTTTTTATATTCCCTAATTTGTTGATCTTTGTTTTCTTGATTGGCAACGGATTATGTATTCGTTTTTACTTTGATTGCATGGCGTTTGTTATAGAGCGCTAATTTCTACTTTGATCTTTGTTTTCTTTATTGCTAAAGGTTTTGATGCTAGATTAGTAGTTTCGGGTAGGCATTAGGGTTTGTTCCCAAATTTGGTTTCAATGCTTAAGTAATTGGATGCTACTGTCTAGATTGAAGGACACGGCTTGACGGAATAGTTACTGTGATCAGTCATCCGGGTTTGAAGTTGAATTGTTTGTTGAAGATTTGTAGATATTTTGAAGCCAGAATTCTTCAATTGGTATATTTTCTTAATTGCGGTATCCATTCAGTTTGGCACATTCAAATAGTCGCAGTCGTGATGCATAACTGAGTTATAGTAAAGACTATAATTTGGAATCACCGGAATCTTTAGGTTAGGAATTATTTATTTAATACTAAACTACTATATATTTCTTATGTGGAATAAAATGTGTGGGGAAATGGAGAAAATTGGTTGACGTGGCAACATAGACATACACTTGCACATACACACATATAGACAAAAATTCATTTTCTGGTTGGATACGAACTTGCAGTTTCTTACCTTGATAACTTTGGTGCAGGAAAGTAAGTTTCTATATATAACCAGATGGCGTGGACAGAAAAGGATGTTGGTGATGGGAAGGAGAGGGATCGGATTGGAGATAATGGATTCTTGAAAGAAGTGCAGCCTGTTTCAGGAACTAGTGGCTCTTTGGGCTGCATTAATCATGTACAGAAGAGTTCTGATGGGAAAGATGCTCTCTCTTATGCCAACATTCTTCGCTCCAGGAACAAATTTGTCGACGCTGTTGCTCTTTATGAGAATATATTGGAGAAGGATAGTGGAAATGTTGAAGCTCACATTGGCAAAGGGATTTGTCTGCAGATGCAGAATATGGGAAGGCTTGCTTTTGAGAGTTTTGCGGAAGCCATTAAATTGGACCCACAAAATGCATGTGCTCTCACCCATTGCGGTATTTTTTACAAAGATGAGGGTCGCTTGGTAGAAGCTGCTGAGGTATGCTCGTGACAATCATATTACAGTTATCATGTCAAGGGGTATTAATACGGTGGCTATCTTATTAAGCTGCCTTACTGATGTTTAACCCAAACATCACTTCTCCATGATTTACCTTTTGTTGCTGATTATAAATCCAATCAACAGTGTGGTCTTTATTTATTTATTATTATTATTATAAGTTGTACTGCATTTGTTATGTGAAATATACTTGCATAGCTCTATTTGTGCTAGCAGCTTTACAAAATTGTTTTTTTATATAAAATACTTGCATCCCTTAACCATTATCACCAGGTACTTATTACTACTGTATTTATTACAAGCACTTACTACGGGGAGGGCAGAAGATATAACCAATTTTGTATGACAATAACACATGCATCAATTTTTTATGCCCCCTGGTTTTCTTCCCTATTCATCCTTTTCCAACTTGTGTCGATATAGATTTGTGGTTTTCATTTATCGTGCTCAGGTTAGTTGTGCCAAGACAATTAGGTTGACTCAAACTCTGCCATTCAGTAGGACTAAGCCATGCTTCATTTATTGCCGGCAACCCCGCAGGCCATGGTATCTAGAATGGCAAATTGGACAAACACAACTGGAGGTTGGAACTGAGATTACTGGTGTTTCTGACTAGCAGATGCAAACCACTAGTTTAATTTTTATTTGGAGCACAGCATACCAGAGAGAAAACAATGGTTCCTGTTTCCCGATGTTGTATTGGTTTAGAAAAGCAAGGAGCATTTGATCTGATAGATTTTCTCTGTTCGATCTGTCATTCTATCTTTTCATATCATCATATATTCAACTTAGATATTGGCTAAAAGGTTAAACCACAAATTTGTACATGACTGCAGTCAATAAGTTGAGATTCGGGTTCCACATGGTAGCCACAAGATTCCTGTGATGGGAGTCCAGAGAAATCCTTGTAAAACAGTGAATCGGGGTTACAATAACTCAAATGCTCTTAATAAGAGCAACAACAATTACTTATTAAAATAGAATACAATAGCAGTGTGGTATATAATTTATCAGGGTGCAGCAAGGATTGTGTGGGAGAGAGATCTTTCATCATTCCCACTCGTTCTTGGGCAAAAGAGGACTTGAGCAACGCCAAGTATGAAGCGTATTGGATAGGAATGTGAATGACTAGAAGAATCTACTTCCAGGTTTCAATGCTTTAAGGGTTAGTAGATTATTACATTTTCAGTCAGCAAATATGGGGAAGCTGCAATGTACACCCTGGCTAATAATTTTTACTTTTTCAATATATATATGCACATACATGTATACATGTCAATGTGCATGCCACTTCCAAACACTAATTCTTTTTCTGGTAAAATCCATACACCACTTCTGTTGAAATACACTACAATTTATGTTAGATAGACAAAATATATAAGCCTTTTCCAACTACTAATTTTTAATCTCAAATCTTCTTTTTAGCTTATATGCATTGCTGTGATGTGCAAATATTTTTCTCAGATGTTTAATTTGGGCCCCCGAGTCCAATGATGACGTGGATGGTCTTGGGCCAGGCATGAGCTTCCGTCTTAAGTTTTTAACTTTCAGCTGTGCTGGTTAGTCTCAGCCCAACGTGTCTGCCCATGTTGTATCCCTAGCTGTAATGTATTGTGCATGTCTTGGATAAACAGTCTTGTACTTTTGTTATTTTTCCAAATATATCATTCTTTTTTTCTTTTCTTTTTTTCGCCATCCGGATAGTTCAGTCTTGCTTGGTCATAAATGAAGGTTTCTTCCCAGTTTGAGTCTCTTTGTTCCATGTGCACTGTTTCATGTTATTACAATTCTCGATCTTCTATTTGCTATTCAGTTGAACGCTTTTAATATTGATCTCCAGTTCTATTCCAGCTGGCAAATTTTATTTGTGAAGTGTGCTATCACATTCAATCAACTTTACTTGATGCAGTCATATCAGAAGGCTCTGAAAGCAGACAATTCATACAAACCAGCAGCGGAAAGCCTGGCGATTGTCCTAACAGATCTTGGAACCAGTTTGAAGCTGGCTGGAAACACTCAGGAGGGAATTCAGAAGTATTATGAAGCTATCAAAATTGATCCACATTATGCTGTAATTTTATGATTTTCTGGTTTCTGCTTCCTGATGCAAGCTTTCGGCCTACTTTATGTCAACTTCGTAGAAGTTTGAATTCTGATGCATTCAGTTTGTACATGCAGCCTGCATATTATAACCTTGGTGTTGTTTATTCTGAAATGATGCAATACGACATGGCCTTTAATTGCTATGAGAAGGCTGCACTGGAGCGGCCCATGTATGCTGAAGCATATTGCAACATGGGTGTCATCTATAAGAACCGGGGAGAGTTGGAGTCAGCTATTGCCTGTTATGAGAGGTAGTTTGGTTTGCATGCATCAATATTTGTTACTTAGTGCATCTAGTTGGGAGCTTTCCATCTGATGATTGTGTGTGTGTTCTGTTGCTATGTTATCTCAGGTGCCTGGCTGTGTCTCCAAACTTTGAGATTGCAAAGAATAACATGGCAATTGCCTTGACAGATTTAGGCACGAAGGTGAGCTGAGGCAGCTTTTAGCCTGTGAACTCATGTTTGTGTACTCGGGCGGTGTTTGATAAAAGTAAAAATTAAGTCCTGAAAATTTAAGCAGTGATTGTAAATAGAGATTATTATTATTATTTTTTTAAATTTTTTTTTTTTTTTTTCCCGATTTAAAGTATTTAGCGTTTATTTGAAGTCACTATCACTTAAAATTTTACCCATTTTAATTGGCACTTTTTTTTTTTTTTTTTTTTTTTAAAATTTTAAAGTGATACTCAAATTGCGTTATTAAGCGCACATAATTGGTTAAGCACTTAATTAATTCTGTGCTGAATATGTTATTAAACAATACTTTAATCTGCATTACGTAGTCAAGGATTCAAGGTTTTATAATCTACTGAAGGTTGCATTCTCTCGAGAATTTTAGTGTTAGCTTTGATTTTGTGACTGGGTGCAGAATTATGGTCTGCCACTATTGTGGTTGGAATTCTTCTATATCGTGATTATTAATTTATGATACTTTATTCAGGTTAAATTGGAGGGAGACATCAACCAAGGTGTTGCGTATTACAAAAAAGCTTTGTATTATAATTGGCACTATGCTGATGCCATGTACAATCTAGGGGTTGCATATGGTGAAATGCTGAAGTTTGACATGGTAAATGAGAATTTTGTTCTCTCTCTATCTCTAAATGTATATACATATATATATGCATCTATCTCTTTGATGTGGTGTTTCTCTCGTCATATAGGAGCCTGCAAATGAAAGAAATCAATATTATTGAATAATGTCTTTAGAAGGAATATATATATATATATATATTTTTTGTCTTTTTCTCCATAACAAAGTATTCTATTTTTCCTAGTTTATTAGTTGATTTGCTTCTAAAATTTGGACCTTAAGAAAAATTTGTGCAACAAATTATTATTTGTGCAGGCAATTGTGTTTTATGAACTTGCTTTCCACTTCAATCCCAATTGTGCGGAGGCATGCAACAATTTAGGAGTTATATACAAAGACCGAGACAACCTCGATAAAGCGGTGGATTGTTATCAGGCAATTTTGATGCTTGTGCATGATTTTAAGTCTCGTCATCAATTACATGCCATTATTATTATTATTGTTGTTGTTGTTGTTGTTGTTGTTTGTTTTTTGCAGTTGGCTTTATCGATCAAACCAAACTTCTCACAGTCCTTAAACAATCTTGGTGTTGTCTACACTGTCCAGGTTCAGTATCTATAGTTCACTTGAATTTTGAATGATCACTGATTCACTGTGTCTGAGAAAGTTGGTGACTATATTCTTTATTATTAACAGGGAAAAATGGATGCAGCTGCAAGCATGATCGAGAAAGCTATTGTCGCAAACCCCACGTATGCAGAAGCATATAATAACTTAGGTCTCTTTCTTTCACTTCCTTTTTCGTTCCCCTAGCCTTCACACATGTTTGTGAGGTTGAGCAACTGTGCATGTCGTGTTTCTGCATTGCTGCTATTGTTGTTATTATCAGTCAACATTCAAGACTAGTGAAAATAAGTTCTCATTTGACACTAAATTTACTGATTTTATATTTACTGAGGTTGTTGTAATGCTTGTTGAACATGTCAGAGTTGTTTTTGTAGAGTAGTTTGGTATGGTTCTTTTGGAACTGAATGGTATTATGACACTGAAAAATACAAGATTCTACAGTATAGAAATCTAAAGAGTAAGAGAATTGGTTTCTTTGAAGTGAGCATTACTATTCCTGAGAATGTGAGTTTAACTTCTCTATTGCATGACCACAGGCAAGAGCTCTCATTTGCTTGTGATTTGTAGTAAGTTAGGTAGGGGTGGCAAACAAATGGTTGGAATATGACATACTCTTGCCTGAGGTTTTAGTTCATCAGGGATTATTTAAGGTGTTTAGAGTTGTGTATTATTTCTTCTGCAGTTTTTGTTTTCTTTTCATTTTGTAAACTCAAGCTGCATGATCTTCTAATTCTGTCTAATGGCGACTTGTAGTTTTTTTGAGTTTATGAACTCGGACATTCTTAGGTTTGCACACAAGTTCTGAAAAAGGCACACACACACACACACACACACCTTCTCTCTAGTCAATTCCTTTCTTAAAATTCTTCATTTGTAGGGGTTCTTTACAGAGATGCTGGCAACATATCTCTGGCTATTGAAGCATATGAGCAATGCCTTAAGATAGATCCTGATTCTCGTAATGCAGGCCAGGTATTGTTGCTCTTTTTCATTTACTTGTGTGAATGTTAAGTTCTGTCATGCATCAGTCTTTAAACCTTATTTTACATGAAAAGTTGCTTGAAGTGGTCTGTTATGCTGTGGTTATTACCATCTACATAGGTAATAATTTATATTTTCACTTAAATTGGGATGGATCATGGGAGGTGTCATTGCAGTTCAATTTGACAATTTCGGCCATTGACTCGTGCTAAAACCACTAACGAAGTGTTAAAATCTGAAATCAATAGATTCAAATATTATATGTTGTGACTGAAAACTTATGAAAAAGGGAAGACTGAGAATTGAAACAAGCGTGCAACAAAGACTAAGAATTATTTAGTAACTGAGTTACTGACATTGAATTAAGTGTGCAACGAAGGCTAAGAATTGTTTAATAAGTAAACATTGAATAAATTGTGCAACAATTCGCAGCGCACTCCTATTGTCTCAACAAAGCATGGAACAAGTGTGCAACAATGGCTAAGAATTGTTCAATGATTAACATTGAAATAAGCGTGCAACAAAGATAAAGAATTGCAGCAGTTAGGAAGACTGAGGGTGATATTGGGGGAATAAAGAAGACCATAATTAATGTGGGTTGAGATGGTAAGGAAAGACATGAACTTTTGTGGTTCAACTGATGCCATTTTCTCCGATAGTGTGGACAACACATGAATTATGTATATAGGGACAAGACTTTGCTGAGTCGAGTTTAACTAAACTTGAAATCAGCCTTCATTCAAAATAAATATGAGAAGTAATACAAGCTTTATTGAGGATGTCATGAAGAGATAATTCATTGTTGATGTGATGCATGCATTTGAGCCATTTGGAAAGGCCCAAAAGATTGTGAGAATGTGGATTACACAGTATATGCTTTTTAGATTTGAATTTGAAAAATGTAAAGGAAGTTAATGGAAATTAATAGAATAATAGAAAAGGGTAATCTGTACTAGTGATTTTAACTCGTGAATCAATAACGCGTGAGAGAATTAATTTTGTCAAATCCTAGATTCAGAAGTTCGACTCTGGATGAGAACTGGCAATAGTTTGCACATAGACCCCCTTCGGATGTAACAATAACTGGGGTCATTCTTGACTCTTGAGATTTTGGGTCAAAGTTTACAATTGATTACCTTATGAGTGATTATCTGAATGTCTTCTTTGTTTTCCTTTGTGGTAGGTACAATGGGACTTAAGCTTACCAGTATATTTTGATGTGTGTTTGGTGATTTTTTAGTACTTAAACATGTGAACACCCACCTTGTGACAATTGGGACTTGAATCCTCAACTTCCTCTTTGGAAGGTGGATGAGATGCAACTCAAGCTAACCTTCAGTGATTTAGCTTGGTCTGCATCTGCTGGAGCTGCACCTTGATTGATTTTAATAATCATTGCATGCTAGTGATTTTGTTCCTGTTTTCGTATTTTGCAAGTTGCAGAGGCCTTTTTTTAGCTGTTCCCTTTAAATTTAAATGAAAAAAGATACACATTTCTTTTTGAGAAAATTCTAATATGTTGTTCAAAATTTTTCCTTGTGATGTTCTTACTGGTAATGAAATGCTAACTATTATGTTTAAAGTAGGGAGTTAGTGTTCATCATCGTGCAGTTATCTGCTTTTAAATCAGATTCTCACAATGTAGGGATTTAATGGAAACTTTAGTTTTTACTGTTTAAATACTCTTCACTTGTTAAGGTTGTTATAATTATTCATAGTTTATTTTGATTTAATACATCTAATGTAGGAGGAGAACTTTTCTGATGTTATCCTATTCTTTGTGCTTGTTGAGCACGATTAACAGTTTTTTTTAATCTCTTATGATGTTTTTATTGACCATTTATTGCAGAATCGTTTGCTTGCAATGAACTATATAAATGAGGGAACTGATGACAAACTATTCGAGGCTCACAGGTTCAGTTAACTGCTAGCTATGCGGCATGCATATTGTTTTTATGTATTGGATAAAGAGCTTTTTATAATGCAATAGAATGTTTACTAAGGAAACAGCTCCCAGTGGGGTTATTCTGGTTTCATATTTTTTTAAAATTTTTTTTAATTTTTTAATTTTTTTAACTTTTTATGGGGGGTGGAGGGGGAGGGTTGAGAATCACTTGAATAGGAAGTATGAGCTCTATCATCAGGATTACTGTCTGTTGATAACGTTATCCTATTTTTTGTATTAACCTCCCAGTTTACCTTTTGAATGCTTTCTTAACAGAAAGTCAGAAACCAACAGAACTATGCGTCATGAAGGCCAACTTCTATTCTTGCATTCTATTTTTCCTATTTTTTGGTAAAAGGTCATTTGAATCATTACATTTTCTTCTAGGATTCTTTTGAATGTCATAGAATAAGCAAGGTGAGAACATCTTATTGGATGTAATCCTTATAACAAGAGACCTGCTTTCTCATGGAGGCTAACTTAGGCAATATGAATGGCTAACTGAAATAAATAAAAAGATGCACACCCTCTTCAATAACAACCCATGTAGATACTTAAAATTCTTCTTTTTCTCTAGGGAAGAATTCATCTTTTTTTTTGCTTTTTTTCAATTACGCTTATGATATTATAATTCATCAAACAATTGCAGTTTGCATATTTTTTTTACTCAATCACTCCAACTTAAATGTCAACCTCATACATGATTGACACACTTAAGCAGCATGCTATGCCACTCTTACCTACTTTTTAAAAGTCAATTCTATATAGTCTTCCAGTTCTTTCCAGTTTGAAAAGGATGCCATGGTACACCGGCCCCTTTCTGAGGTCTCAATACCGCCTGATTTTAAAATTCAAAATATTTCCTTCTTAAAGTTATCTGAACTATTCTTTCATACATGAGCTTGGGCAGATAATATGAGTATTTGAATAGCCTTGTGTTTGGTTTACTCAAAATTGGATTCAGGAATGCTCATTTTACTACTCCTTAACTTCCAAGGCCAAATTGCAACACAAATTTCCGTTTTTAACCTTCTTAATCTTAAATTATCTGAATTCATTTTTAAATATGAGGTTTTTCTTAAGCTCACGTATCTTACAAGAAAAGTACCATTGGAAAATTTAATTTACTTGGGAGCAAAGTATGCATGCTAGTCATAAAAATACACAAGCTAATGGGTTTTGAAAATTGTTTTAAAAAGGATCATGTCTCTAAAAAGGGGGTCCCATGTTAGAGATTGGAAACTTTAAAGTAAGTATTGTGCAGAAAGTGGATTATCAGCTAACCGGTCTTTATTTTTTATTTTAATTTAAAGGCTTTAATAAGATTGTGGATTTTATAAAGGATTTATTTTCTATTCACTTCTCTTTTTCACCTCCTCTGTGTATAACTATATTTATTGTGTTTCTGAGAGAGATATATGAAGAGATGGCAGTGTGGTTCATGGTACAAGAATCTGCTGTGAAGAAGATTAACGTAGTATGCTGATTGTGGCTTGTATTATGAACCTGGCCGGTACTTCAAATGTCTCAGGACTTATGAAATATGCAAAGTCCATTCTTACAACCTTTTGGGACCATAATAACCACCATATTGAAGCTGTCATTGTTGGCGGCTCTTTCTCTAGGTAATTCACTCTCGTGACAGGTGGCCTTCAATTTATGCAGTGATTTGAGTAGCCCTTTTCTAAGTTGTGTTACGCTTGGCAGCTCTCACTCTAGGTAGATTCACTATAGCGGTGGGTAGTCCTTTATTTTTCATAGGGACTTGAAGGATGGTAAAACAAGTATCTTATCCCATGGAATACTAAAATGCATATTATAATCCTAGTAATAAAGAGAAACAAAAACAAAATGGTCACTCTAAAAGAATATTCAAGCTAGTCAATAGTTGGTAAAAGTCGTCTACTAAATTTGGTTCTACAACTTTGCACTTAGGGCCACAATACCTGAAATTTTTGTTATCTAAACTCAAGACTGATTTTTTTTTTTTGATAAGTCTAAACTAAAGACTGATAGTATACGTAAATAAAAGACATTGATGTTAAAAAATGTATTAGGCCTTGAAATCTGATTTTAGGGCTTACAGCAAATGCGAGAGAGATGGGGGAAGAGAGAGAGGGGGGTGGGGGATAGCTTTTGCTACCAATGGAAGAGAATGACTACCTTTTTGATGGAGTAGGGAGCGCAAAGTTAGTATTGTCTAATGCTTGGAAAAGAGGGACTACAATCTTGATAACCTCAACTTCCCAACCCTTTACAGCTCAAGAATCTCTGTGTATGATGGCCTGTTCTTCCTGGTTGATGAGGGAAGTATGCCAAAGGTCGCATTGTCTACCATTCAAAAAGATTGTCTATCTTCTTGATGGCCTCAAGTTGCCAAGATTTCACAATTCCAGAATTTCCCAGTCAGACTGTCTGTTTTCTCTGGTTGACGTTAAGAATGCCATTACATCCCTTTACAAATTTCTTTCCAGATTCTATCTTAAAAGAATCAATCAAGCACATTTAATTGTTACTTTATTTAGCAGAATTTGCTAAATTATTGGGGCCACCCACACGTTGAAATTAGAACTGGAAAACTGATGCCTCGAGCGTGAATTATGTTACACTGGATGGAGTGTATATATAATATGCTGTGTACCAATACTTTAAGAATACAGTTCCCTTGACAAACTATACAGAGTCTGGGCTCTGACCAAATTATCATTATGCGCATTTTAAATTGTTTCTTAATTCTGCCGCATTGTCTAAATTCTTGTGGGCCATCTAATATAACAACTGTGCAATTTAACCAAGAACATGGATCGCTTGGTATATTGATCAGAAATGGATACATGGTATGAGATGTACCATGAAAAATTACGAAATCAAGGTGCGCTTTTATAGCTTGCCCAGATTGCTAAATTATTAAACTAATGTAAGTAGTTTTGAATCCGAAACAAATAATCCACAATGTGGTGAGTTTTTTGGCGGGAAGTGGGCACAAGATAATTCCTGGAACTGTTTGCGTCGGCTTTTAAAAGGAAGCAAAAGTTGGGTGGTGATTAACTGGTGGTTGCTGACTTGCTTTGGAACATAAATCTATTAGAGTATTAAATGATTGAGAGTAGTTAGATTTATAGAGAATCTTATATCGACTTCATACTCCCATCTGTTTGCATAGGAGAGGGAGATGATCTTGTTTGATAGAAGAATGGGAATGGGTTTTCTTGGTGAAATCCTTCTACAAGTTTTTTCTTGCTCTCTTCAATAGGCTCTTTCAGTGACAGACGAGTTACAAGTGTCAAATGCTTCTCCATGAATTCAAGGTCAGGAGACGATTTTTTTATTTCAATGTCTTACCATTAAGTGGGATGGTAAAACCTCAAGCATCAACCATGAGGACGCATGTTTGAGACTAATAGCAGGCACTGTGTACAGTATGCCGAAGGTTTAGTTTGTATTAGGTCCGTCCTTCCATGTAGCTTGCTTTTAAAGACATGTTATGTTATACTTCTTCACATTGACTGTTCTGAATCACCCTTCTAAATTATTTCAACGAACCTGATGCTAAACAAATCTTTTTTTTTTCCTAGTTGATACTCGCACACCCACCCTCAAGGAATTGTTTGCACCCAAGAGGAGTTGAATCTTAGACCTGATGCTTCATGAGGCACCAGGACCAAGTGACTTACCCACTTGAGGTTTCTAAACAAATCCTTACATCCTGTTAAATAAAGTTCAAATCCTTATAACTGTTCTTGAGAGTTTTTACGTTAAAAAAATCCTCATGTTAAATGAACCTTGCGGCTGTTCTTGAGAGTTTATTTCCCTTTGTTATTAACATATTTAAATGGATGACCTTTTTTTTTTCTTTTCCAGTTTTGTTCTGTTCCATAATTTAGAATCATGTGAAGTATTACATGCTTGCTATTACCATACGCATCTAAAGCTTTAGTTTCTTTGAGGCTTTCTCTGAGTTGAAATTTATATTTGCAGAGACTGGGGTAGCCGCTTTATGAGGTTATATCCACAATGCACTTCATGGGATAACCCAAAAGATCCAGAGAGACCGCTTGTTATTGGATATGTTTCTCCGGATTATTTTACTCATTCTGTATCATATTTCATTGAAGCACCCCTTGTCTATCATGATTATGCAAATTACAAGGTGGTTGTTTATTCTGCAGTTGTGAAGGTAATAGTGACATTGCTCCCCCTGCCCACATATACCTCGCTTCTGTAGTTTGTGAGTTTGCGCCATACATAGACTTATATCCCTTTGTGGTAATAGGTCCCTAAACATCTATTATCTTCATTTGATGTTACAGGCAGATGCAAAAACTGGCAGATTTAAGGAGAAAGTCCTGAAAAAGGGTGGATTATGGAGAGATATCTATGGTGTTGATGAGAAGAAGGTTGCGAGCATGGTTAGAGAGGATAAGGTTGACATTTTGGTTGAACTTACTGGTCATACTGCTAACAATAAGTTGGGAATGATGGCATGCCGACCTGCACCTCTCCAGGTATGTTAAGACGCTGTGGACGTGAGCTTCTTTATGTAAATACCAAATGGAATCTTCTTTCATAAAGGCTTTTTAAATTTTATTATATCTCTCTCTTGGGGGAGGAGGTCACTGAAAGTTGGTTGTTTCTTTCTAGGTTTTCTTTTATCTCTTCTCTTCTTTTTCTTGTACTTTATTTTTTATTTTTGCATCTGATTAGTTTTTTCCATTTTCGGATTCCCATTGATTGCATTTCCATTTTTTCCTCTTTTTTTTTTACCTTCCCTCCCCGCTCTTCCACCAGCTCAAAAAAAGGAAAAGAGAAATAAAAAAACAAAAAAACAAAGAAAAAGCCTTCAGCCGTCGCCCCTAGGACCCTTGTGATGCACCTGTGTAAATAAATCTGGAGTCATGTTCCTAGCAATAAAATCCAACAAAACGGTCAACCTCTATTTTAAAGAAGAAATTTTTTTCAGCCAGGCAATGTGTTATGATTTTTCGTGAATATTTAAAAATGGATAACGTGTTCATGGTGGGCACGTTATTTTTATAAAATCTTATGTTGAAGAGGAAAAGTATGACTAGGCAATCTGTTCCATAAAACCTCTTCAACTTGGCCATTTCTGTGTTAACACAATTTTAGTTTTCACCAATTTGAGGCCTAGGCAATTATCCTCAGTACATGTGCTTTTTAGTCCATGTTACTCTTCAAACATCTGGCCTTAACTTGGACATGATAACATTCCCTCTTGAGCGCTTCTTTAATGAAATGTTACTTATCAAAAATAAACATATGTAAAACTCATTGCTGAACTCTGGGAGTTACCTGATTGATTTATCAGTAGTCGTCTCTCTACTCGTATGCTTGCTCAAGTTACTGATATTGTTTTGGTTTGCCACTGGATAGGTGACTTGGATTGGCTATCCAAATACAACCGGTTTGCCTACCATTGATTATAGAATCACTGATGAACTGGCTGACCCACAAGATACAAGACAGAAGTAGGTCACATATTCATTTTTTTCTCTGATTAGCATTTTCATGTGTTGGTAATGTGAAGAATTATATCTTATTATTCATTTGTGATGTAAATTTTGTCACTAATGGGCAGGAATGTTGAGGAATTGGTTCGATTACCAGAATGCTTTCTTTGTTATACGCCATCTCCTGAAGCAGGGCCCATATCTCCAACTCCTGCTCTTTCCAATGGCTTTATCACTTTTGGTAGCTTTAACAATTTAGCGAAGGTATTGATCAGGTTGGAATAGGACATAACTTGTGTAATACATCTTGAACCATCACATTCACTGATAAGCTATGATTTCCTCCCATTTCCTTATATTTTCCTTTATCAGATAACACCTAAAGTGCTGCAAGTTTGGGCAAGGATTTTGTGTGCAGTTCCAAACTCTCGGCTTGTTGTGAAGTGTAAGCCTTTTTGTTGTGATAGTGTAAGACAAAGATTTCTTTCAACATTGGAGCAGTTGGGGTTGGAACCACTACGTGTTGATCTTTTGCCTTTGATTCTTCTCAACCATGATCACATGCAAGCATATGCTCTTATGGACATCAGGTAAAACTTAGTGTTCTTTTATTGGTAGATCACTAAGAATTTTTCATTTCTCCAATTCTCATGTGTTTCTGCAACATGGGTCAGGAAACCAACTCTTGTGCTGCTTCTAGTGTCCTTATATTCTCCATGGTTTTTTTGGTGTTCCTAATATTCCCAAATCTCCATGGGTTTGTTTGGTGGTCTTAGAATTCTCTCTCTACCTGACTTTTTCAGAAATTTTCTTCTTTAACTTGTTATAGTTTATTTAAAATGAGTAGCTTTTGGTACATTGGACTTAGAATATTTTTTTGGGGAAAGCGTAGCTTGTCTTTCCTTCTAATATGCTAAGACCCACTCTCATCCAAGGCAGCGCTGTGCATACAGCAAATAAACACATGAATCCAGATCTCCAGCATAATTTGTTTCCCCTTTTGGTTGGGTGCTATGATATCTCATTTTTGGTGAGGATGCTTGGGCTAATATGCAAAATTTTGTTGGGACCATAGAAGGATAAGAAAGATAATTGCTCGAATCTCTCTCTCCGTCTCTCTGTTCTTGAAACTAGCTCATCCACTTTCACACCCAAAAGCCTTTCCTTGATGTTGATTGCATCAATATTTGAAGCATTTGATGCATACAAAGTGTGTTGCTGAAAAGACTGCCAAGATCAACTTGTGCTTTCTTTATTTTCATCCATACTTTTTTCGTCTACTGTATCACTAGCATGTATCCTGTTCTGAGGACATGTCTAATCTATCATTGTTGTTTCTATGTAGCTTGGATACCTTCCCCTATGCAGGAACAACTACAACATGTGAATCTCTGTACATGGGGGTTCCATGTGTCACTATGAGAGGTTCAGTACATGCTCATAATGTTGGCGTGAGCCTTCTCAGCAAAGTTGGTGAGAAACATTCCTTTCTGCCTCCTTAATTGAACTTTTATTCACCATCTTTTGCCCAGGTTATTCATGATTATCATTGCTTTAAATGCTTCATTTTATTACTGTGTGCCATACTCTTTTTTTTTTTTTTTCCTTTTCCCTTTAACGTAGTCAAGAAACTCACACACACACTCTGTCCCTCTGGAGACTTGATTGAAAGGTGAGGAAGTACCACTAAGCTACAACCTTTGGTGGTATGTGTCATACTCGATTTGTCTGTTTTGGTATTGTGTAAAAGTTCATTAAGTGAAGCTTGTATGCTATACATGGTTATTAAAAGAAAGGATTGAACCTCAAGATCAGAGACAATCCAGGATTTAATTTCAAAGAAAGGCATGAAATAAATGCCTCTCTCTGGTGTCTTTCCTTCCATATAACAAGATTGCATAACCCCACCCTTAATATCAAAGCCTGAAAATGCAGATCATTTAAGAACTTTGTAATATTATGGCATTATTATATATGTCCCTGATTGGAGAAAAAAGGACAATTTTGGACTAAGCAAATTTCTCTGATAGTTACAGGACAACAATGGGACAAAATCATTCCATATATTCTGCCTCTACTCTGCACATGTCATACTTGTCAATTATACTATTGATCCACAATGTTATGCTCCTTTGCAAACTTCAGTTTTTCAAATGGTAAAGTTGCATAATCAAGGGCTTGATTACTTGAATGGCTCTTCGTTCCTGTTGAACAGCTTTTTTATTTTCTTTTCTCTAGTTTTTAATTTGGAAAAGGCCTTGAAGAATCCTTAGATCCGATCAACAAATTTAGTCCCAGCTTGGCATCCATCCTGTTTCCCCAAATGTATTCATTTGGAGATTTGCATGAAGATGCAAAGGTGATGGATTCAACAGTATCAATTTATTTAATAGAGATTTGTTTACTGCATTTTTATGCATGGTTTGCGGCCATTTATTGGGCCACTTAGTAGCCTTCTTACCTTTACGTTACTTTTCTTATGACATGGTCTTTTTTTAGGTTTTCTAATTGTCAATTGTATTTTGGGGTTCAAGGGTTCAATGTTATGTTGATAATTGGTGGATTTGGCGCAGTTGTGCATCTGGTTCTATCATGTACATTCCTTTTAGTTGCATGTGTTCTTTCTTTGGTCTTGGTTTTTATTTATCTGCTCTGACTGGTATTTTAGTATGATAACAGCTTGGTGGGTTAGAGTTGTGAATTTCATTCTTATTGATAAGTGAGTCTACCCAGCAAACAATTTTATGAAAGGGCTTCTGCAAACTAATCATTCTGGAACTTTGGTGCTTCCAAACCCTTTAGATTCTTAGAAAAGAGTTCCATACTCCGTATTAGTAAGTTTTATCCAACCTTTTCTTTCATTTCCCCCTTCATTACATTGAACCTTAGCTTCCAAAGCCCGAGACTTTGACATTATATGATAATGTCTGGAATATTGTGTTTCTTATCTGGTGGTACCTAGCCTTCCTAATCCCACTTGGTATAGCATCAATGTTGATTTGGTTAAATAATGTTTGCATCATTTGACTTAGTATAGATGTCTTCTCTCTCATTTAACTTTGGGTCTAGATGTGAGTTATGTCAAAGCTTTGATAAGAGACTTTCAGTTCTCTTGTACTAATTATTTTCCTCTTGTTTCATAGGGTGCATTTTTTAATTGAGAAGCTTTCAAATTGAAGTTTAGCACCATGCCAAAGTTTGTTGTACTGTTTTTGAACTGTTCTAATCTAATGTAATATCTAAGTTTGCAATGTTGTAGTTTCTTCCCTTTTGGTTCTCATCATGTGCTGAAGGCAGCCACTCTTATGTGAATAAAGCTAGGCTTGGTTTGGTCTAATGCACCCCTCTGAATTCACTTTCTGTTAATGGTGTGAAAAACTCTCTCTTTGCCATCGGTTTACCTTAACAATAGATTTTGTATAGGAAAATGTCTTTTTGTGCGATTTTAGAGGGCCGATTTTTTTAGTCAAATGAATAGAATGAGATAAAAAGGAAAATTTGACATTATGTGGATCCCACATGTATCCAAAGGATGAATTTCAGTCAGTTTGTATAGTTGGCTTATGTATCATTACTCTTTTTGTGTATGTATTGTTAATCATTTTACTTCTTCACCTCTTTTTTTTCACAACTGCTGAAATTGATATCAATATTTTTGAGAGGAGGTGACTAAAATTTTTGTTGTTGTAACCAACAACTTGACAACACAATTTTCATGTTAGAACAATGCATATACTTGATTTTTGTTTTTATTTATATTAAAAAAAGGTGATGGAAGGCAGTTATAAATTATATATAATGCCTTTAATATTGTTATTTCTAACTTTTGTGTGTGCACAAGCACTTTCTCATATATGTGTTTTCTCTTTTCTTTTTTCCCCCTGGTTATTCCTTGTGACAGGAGAGCATATTAGCTGTGGCCTCTAATTCATTTTGATTGTAGCTTCATGAATTCTGTTTGCATCCTCTTTGTATTTGTTTCTGCCTTCTTCAAAAGAATTTACTGTGATGTTTCTGAAAATAGAAACCTGTTTTTAGTTATGATTAGCCATAAAGTAAACTTCATAAATGTTGAACTGGTTAAATGTGAATATCAAAGTGCAGATCAATTGTATTGAATTCATAAACATGTGTACTATGTGGACAACATATATTGTCAAGCTAAAATCGAGTTGTATGTTCCCAGAGGGAGGACACATTTCTTTAGGGTGATTTCAATCAAAAAGTTGTCAGTGGTATCAGATTCCAAGCACACCTTTAGTCCTATATATCCTAACTTTTTTTGACATAAACGATAATGTCTCTAATTGATCTTTTCCTGGACAAAATGTTCTATCTTGTGCTCCTCTGCCAGACTTCATAAAAGTATATGCGCATCACAAGTCCAGCCCATTAACAATGCTCGAAGTGTTTGTGCTTCTTTATATGGTAGCTTATTCCTGATTGTGATGTAAATGTTTACAAATAGTTTAGTATTTACAAAGTAACCAAGGGCTGTAGCCTAAAATCCTAATTGATGTGATTTTTTTGTGGATGTTGCTTTACAGGATTGGGATATTTGGTCGCCAAGACTGAAGATGACTACGTACAATTGGCATTGCAATTAGCCTCAGACGTTAATGCTCTCTCAAACTTGAGAATGAGTCTGCGGGATCTCATGTCTAAGTCCCCCCTTTGTGATGGATCAAAATTCATCCTTGGTCTGGAGTCAACATATCGGAATATGTGGCACAGGTACTGTAAAGGTGATGTGCCTTCTTTAAGACGCATTGAAATGATACAGGAGCAGAAGCCACAGCTGGTTGTTCCGGAAGAACCAGCTGTCAAATTCTCTGAGCCAACAAGAATTATAGGATCTGGAGAAGGTTCTGTTGGATCAATCCAGACAAACGGTTTTAATTTGGGCTCACAATCTATGCTGAATTGCACTGCTAATGAAGAAAATGGGATTCAGTTGAATCAGACTACTCAGGGAAGTTGAGATGTAATAAATTTGATCTGATGGGGCATTCATGCAGAATTTTTTGGGCCAGTATAAAAAAATGTGTTGCGCATGTGGAATTAAGCCTCCTGTATCGTATATATTTATTGTGGCTTGATCTGCTTTAGTCTGAGGCTGGAGTTAAACGTAGAGGCAACTATTTGTTGCATAGGGTAATTTTCTGGGAGAAATGTTCGAAGTAGTTGGTACTTCGATTTTATTTGTTCAAGATAGATTTATAGTGTACTAAAATATGGAGGCGATGCTATGGTCTTACCTTGGGTATGTCGTTGCATCTTTTGGCCGGAGATATAGATGTTAGTGTGTTTTTATCATATGTAAGGAGATTTCTCTGAAAATATTGAAAGCTCTTGATTCTGTCAATTTAGGTAGGAAGGGGAGATATGTTGTATATTTTGAATGTGTTTAAACTGATTGAGCTCATCTGCAATGAAATTGATGCTATATGGCAGGTCAAAGGTGTCAATGATGGTGTTTAAAAGTCGTATTTTATATCGTAAGAATTCAAAACCAGAAGTTGAAACTTGTCTAACTTCACTGGTGTGGTAATATATGGTTAGTATATATTTTGATATATAGTTAAAACATATTTTGAGAAGCTGGTTTCATAGCAGAAAAACGAAACTTTGTCCAATTTCATTGGTGTAATAAAATGGTTAATGCATATTTTGATAAGTTGGTTTTAACCCATTTGTCGACCAAATGTCCAATTTAATAAATAGGTTATCGATATCCTAATCAATGAACACGGTAGGATTTTTTTCACGCTTGAGGTGGTTGTGATGGCCTATAATCCAAGTGACCTAGGCTACGGTGAAGGTTCGATGTCCCCAGAATTGGAGCCAATTTCTATTCAGGAATTGGAGTTGATTTCTATTCAAGAGCCAATTTAATAATCGAACCTTTTGCCCCCAACCAACGCTAAATAGCAAATCTATTGACTACTGTTACATTAAATAGCAAATCTATTGATTACTGTTTTGTTTAAAGATTAACTTGGGGGTATCCGGACTTCACCCCGATTAATCACCAAGGATTCCTGTAGGGCGTCTCCACACCATGGACCAAGTAAGTTACAAAGTATGAATCATGGAGAAATGACTCTAAAGGGAAATTGTTTACATAATCGAACTTCAAATATAATGTTTCATGAAACACTAGGCCAATTGACCTTACCACCTGAACCAATTCCTGGGGTTTATTGATTACTTAACAGTCTAAATTATTCATATTTATTGTAATTATCAAATGGTGTTAAAATAGGGCATGTCAGTTCGGAAATTAGAGTCTAGCTAAATCACCTTATTGCTGACGCTTAACATAGAACACGGTATGCAATTTATGAAAAAAAGTGTTTATTTACAAGGAGAAAATTTTAAGCATCATAGAGATCTCTAATTGCAGAACATTTAGGTTTTAAATATTTTATTAATATCAATTTTACCCTCAAATAATTTTGAATCCATAGAGCAAGTCATTTTTAGTTTACTCCAAAGTCTCCAAAATTTCAAGCATTGCTCTTTTTCTCAAATGATGTGAACTCAAATAATATTAACAAAATATAAATAAAATAAACACCATATGATTCACTTGAGTTAATAATCAATGGTTTTGCATTACAATTCTTCGCACCATTGGAATATGTACAATATTCAGATTTTAACTCTTAAGTTTAAGAAATAATCTTAATGGATTCAGTGCTTAAAAAAAAAACAATATCAAGATTGCATCGTAGTTATAATTTTCAGTTTGATCAGGCAGCACTGCCTTAGTCAGAAAACACCCAGAGCAGTAATTGAAAAAAAAGTATAATTTTCCAAAGGGGTATCAATTCCCTTCAAAAGTGAGATACTGAGATTGCAACAAAATGGTTATTTCACAGAAACATACCATTACAAAAGATGGGAATAAAGCATAATGCAAAAGAAATACACCCAGATGATACAAAAGCTCCATATCACTTCCGCTAATGATAGGCGTCCTCCCACGTTGAATGCATACGAGGAGATCAAAAACCTCAGTGGAGCTATGACCATTTCAGCAAACTATGCTTTGTCTTTGCCGCCCGTACCAAATCAATCTTTGACTATTGTGCGCAGTACCCTTACGTCATGGATGGGTCTAAATTGACAGAGAAAGCAAATGCAAGTTTTTTTATCCACATGTTCAACCAAAGTACTGATGAAAACAGTATTGAGAAACAAAATTTTAACTTTTGCAACCTAACCTTGAATTCTAATTTCACAGCTCACACGTTTAGAGATTCCAAAACTTCTAGACTGAAAATATCTGTTTGACCTCTTAATTTTATAAATCAGAAATCTATACAGCATACTTGAACCTTTTTAGATCTTATCCCATAGTTGGAGATTGAATATTGTCAAACCAATGAACTGTATCCTAAGAAGCACGGAAACGGATACGGGACACGGATACGACACGAAACGACACGACACGGCGACACAGCAAATCCAAAAAAATTAGGACACGGACACGTCGGGGACACGACAAATAATAAATATATTTTTATATATATGATGTTGTACTTTAAAAAATTAAGAGTAATATATTAGTTTTTACAACCTCATAATGAAAAAAAATTGTGTTTTGCTGGGAAGAAGAAAGAATGATAGAAAGAGAAAAAAATAAATAAATAAATTAGGGTTTTGTTAGAATAAGAATTAGGCCTCAGTTAAAAATAAAGGTCAGAATCTATAAAAGAGAAAAAGGTTCATGGGGAGTAGAGGAAAAAGGAAAACGCAAAAAGAAATTTATTGTGCAAGGAAAAAAAAGAAGTATCTGGGATTTGTGAAGAACAAGAAGATGAAAGAAAAGAGGATGCAGAAGAAGAGAGATGAAGAGACTAACCACCGGTAACGAAGCTTGGTTTGTGGGGGTACAAGAGAGTCAAAGATGATTGTGCAAGAGTTCGAACCTTGAACTAAAATATAAGGATAATATCTAGTTGTTTTAATATAAAATTGCTTTATAATACAACTACTTTTAAGTAATTATGTAATTACCATCATACTGCTGAAAGTTATTAAACAACTCCTAATATTTATACTTCAACTCAACATTGTTTCTAAAAATTTCTTAATAATCCCCAAGAATGGGACGTGTGTCAGATAGGTAACCATGGTGTGTCGGGCACGTGTCCAATTGGTGTCCAGATATTCAAGAAAACATAAAATATTTGGGCATATTTTTTGGCGTGTCCGGCGCGTGTCGGTGTCTGACATGGATTCTTTGCCCTTTTAGGCATGTCCGTGCTTCCTAGGTTGTAGCTCAGTTGGTTCAATGGGCATGAGGTGGTGTGGGTTATCTAATGTTAAAGTCAAGGTAATAAGATCTTAAAGCGACCAAAAAGGAAAAAGAAAAACTATCATAACTTCAACAAGCAAATTTCATTTGAACTGCCCAAGTCATCAACTCGTCATGATATGATTTTAAAGTACACACATTACGTCCCTAATATTTTAATAAAAAATCATTCTAAGAAAGAAGTTGAAGGAGATGCCTTCCAATTTTGCTGACATATAGGGGCGAAGGGAATGATGAGCGGAGGCCCAAAATAAGATCCGCCATCATTGGTTCCGTTATATTTTTACAAAATAAGATAACAGATGCCCTGGTGATCCAACTAGATCATCAACTTCATCAAACTCACCAAGTTCGCTGATCCAAGGACAATTCCAAAAGCTCTGAGCTTTTTGCAGGATGAACTAAGCATAGAGAACCATATCCCAGTTAAAACTACTTTATACCCTAAGTGACCATTTATTCTAAGCCAAGGCCTAAAGATCAAGTCAAGATTATGAAGAGGTATACCTATCATTGTTATCAGTCTGAACACTCCCGAGTCTCTTGATAATCTCCATTCCTTTACTTACTCTTCCAAATATTGTGTGCTTCCCTATACAACACAGAAATAAAATTAAAACATCAACAACGAAACAATAACTTTATGATGTAAATTTCCAATGATGGAGGAAAAAAATGAAGATTCGAGCAGATGGATCTTGCCATTTTCACATAAAACAGAAGTTTAATTGAAGAAAATAAATGTGCATTACCACGTGTCGGCCTAAACAGGGTGATAAGGGGGGGAAACTAGGGAGATAAAACCAACTTTTTGGTATTATTTTGCAATAAGTGGCTGCTCTCAGATGTGAATTTTCAGACCTTAAACTTTAGGGACTGAAATTAAATTGTGTTTAAAAGAGCTCATATATTTATAGCAGACTTGAAGTTTTACCTCCTGCTCTACATCAATGATTAGAGAACTAAATCCAAGCTCCAAGCAATTTGTCCCTTCATGGATTTAAATTTTAGTGTGCGATAGACAGACATGAGGCACATGGACAAGTTCATTCCATTTCACAACTTTTACCTAATATTTCGAAATTTAGAAAAACATCATTCTGCACAATTAGTGTTTCCTTCACAGACACGAGGCACAAAGGACAAGTTCATTCCATTTCACGAGTTTTACCTAATATTTTGAAATTTGGTAAAAAATCATTGGACACAATTAAATTAAGAAACAAGTCATAAAGTTCCACGTGTGTACAAATAAAAGGAGCATAATGCATCCAATTGCACGCATATTGAACAGTATTCCACAAGAGTGATAAAATAGAATCTAAAGAGCAAATGAGCACAATAAACAACATAATTACCATCTAGTGATTGTGCTGGTGCCAAAGTAATAAAGAACTGGCTTCCATTTGTATTTGGACCAGCATTAGCCATGGACATAATACCAGCCCCAGTATGCTTTAACTTTGGATTTAACTCATCCTCAAATTTTGAACTGCAGTGAATTAAGAAACAAGTCATTTCAAAAGTAAAAAATCTATAACCAGAATCATTCGACTTTCTTCATTAAATACAAGAAATTATGCACCAAAGCAAGTAAACCATTATTCAATCACACAAAAGCTTAAAAATGTAATGACCTGACAGATCTACAGTGTGATGGAGAAGACATAAAAGCAAAAACGATACGCACAACTGTCACCTCCTCCCCCACTTAGAAGCCACTAAAAGTTGCATTCACTGTTCTCGAGATTATCTCCTGGGAAGGGAGTTTTATGTGCATGGTACATGCATATGAAGGCAGAAGCCTTTACAAATATATTTGGTTGGGAACAAACATGACATAACAGGATTTTGATGTTGCAGTTGGATAAAGTTAAGGGTAGTGGCATGACATAATAAGAACAGTCCAAGGTGGTGAGGTAAAGATAAAATATATTTCACACGAATAGCTAACAGTGTTGGAATTATTTGGTTGGAATCCTCTTGAGAGGATTAAGAGTTTAAGACTTACGAGTATGATTCCAAAGAGTCTGCTTAGTGGAGCAAGGAAGCTATAGCCAAGACCAGCATGATACTGCTGAATATACTAAAGAAGGCCATCAATGTGTTAAGGAGAAGTTGCAGCCTTGAGAATAAAAAATAAAAAAATAGCTCCCTTCTTGCAGAAAAAAGATAAACAACGATGCTTTTACAAGGAGAGAGGGTGGCTCTCCCCATTGCTATTGTGATACTTAAGCACATGCAATATGCTTGCAAAAATTTCGGCATGTGTATCATTCTTATTAAAAAAATTGCATGTGCATATAGCAATCTAAGGGCGCTAGAGTGAAACTGATCTATTATGCAGTAGTATTTTGCATAATTAATGAAAATACTAAAAAATTAAATTATGGAGAAAATCTCCAAGACACTTGTCCAACCAGTACCACCAAAGATTTAGAACCACAACTCACATCAACACCACCATCCCACCAATACTCACATTGAGAGCATCACAGCTCACTTGACAACCACCGTCCCACCAACACCACTTCGAATGACACACCCCCACCATCTCTGCGATCATTTCACCACTGTCCTGATGGCTTCATTAATTCACCGGAACTCAATATCCTTTTCTATTTTTTGGTTGGGGAGGGGGAAAACAAGAGAACTCAATGAAAAATAACAGTAAATAGCAACAGTTGTGGTCCCTCAAAGACAAATGCAGAAACATGGGCTCAATTCCTGTTTTTTTCGAAAGAAAATAGATGGCAGCTAGATCAAACAGGTCCCTCGGATTCTGATTTTGTGTACCAAACAGAGACTTGCCAAATCTGGATTCAGTCATCCAAATTTATACTGATGATTAGGCTCATCATCAATTAGCGCCAAAGGGTTTTGCCAGTGTAGCAATAGTTAAGCAACAAAGTTCATCATCAAAATGTTTGCACAAAACGTTAGAAAAATAAACAAACCCAATAACTTGGTGAAAACATGAATATGGTTGCCTTTGAAATGTTTCATCAGGGAAATAGAGACTGTGAATAATCTTCAACATTATATTGGTATAGAACTTAAGATGATTTCTTATCTAATACCTATTATTTCCCAGTTAAAGCAGCATTTTTTCTATTGGGCTTTAGTAGGTACTTTAGAAGTTGTATTTCACCTTTTATCATCACGTTTCTATATATGTGATGAAAGAGATGAAAAAAGATCAAATTCTAAATATCATTTGTGTTTCTGAATCATAATCCAAGAGGGGTTAGCATAATTAACTGCTATTTTACATGTTATAATCATATTTCACTCGTTATTATCTTCAGTCCCCCAAAAGGGGAGAATATTATCAAGTTATAAAACTCCATTCTGAATAAATTAGACATGTTAGCTGCAATGAATGTTTTTTCTTTAAAAAGTAAAAATAATTGAAGGAAAAAAAAAAAAAAAGGCGATAAATCAACAAAATTTCTACAATAAATCATCGATAAAAATTACTCGTACTATGCAAAAACACATCTATAAATAAGAAAAGAAAGATACCCATAGATAGATTCTCCACCCCTTCCTGTACCAGTAGGGTCACCGCCTTGGACTATAAAATCCTACTCGAAATCATAAATAATAGATCATAAGCTGCTCAATACATATATATAAACATTAAAAATGTAAATTGTTGAGGCTATTCATTAGAAGCATAGAGTCCAAGAGGGAAGGAAGGAAGGAAGAAAGAGAGAAGACCTTAATAATTCTGTGGAATTTGACGTTGTCGTAATAACCTCTGCGAGAGAGTTCGATGAAGTTTCTGCAAGTTCTAGGGGCATGCTTGTAGTACATCTATTATTTTACATCACAATTACATGTGTATTTGTATCAACCAGGTATATATAGAAAATTACACACAGAGAGACGATTTAAGGGAAAGAAAGCCATATACCTCAACGGTAAAAGAACCCATGGAGGTTTCGAGAGTGACCTCCGGCGCACCGCCTTCTGAACTACCCCACATCCCCTTTAGAGACGCTGTCTCTGCGTGTGTATGTGAGAGAGAGAATGCTTTGTGATTTGGGCGGCTCCAAAAAGAAACAAGAAAGGTATGAAAAATGGGGAGGAACTAGGAAGAGAGGAGGGTTAACCCGTTTTCCGGTTTGTTGCTCCGCCTACCGGACCACCGCTATTGGGTCGGATTTAAAATGATTTGTGAAAGGATGTGAAACTCGACTCGAATTCGGGTTGCGGACCGATATGGATTGGACGGACGATCCACCGGCCCGTTTTGCCAATATTATTTTTTCAATTTTTTTATTTTTCTGTTATACTCACATCTTCCCATTTAAGACACTTGTAATGGTACGGAGGTAAGACACCTACTCTCACACCCTTTTACCTTTGGTTTTACTTTTACTTTTACATAGGGTTATATGGCCCACAGAAAATGGAGTATAACTGAAGGAGCGTCTATGGCCCACAGAAAATGAACAGCCCAGGTACATGTGAGCATCCCATTACCTGAGTCTAAAAAGGCTTACCATTTCATTGGATGAAAAATAAATAAATAAATAAGTCAAGTCTATCCCATTCCGGTCCGGCCCAGTGGGGCCCAACCAATCAATTAGGTCATTACCCGTTTACCCAAGCATGTTTTAAATGCTTTACTGCCGGGAAAAAAAAAAAATTTTGGGGCAAATTACATCCAACATTCATGTGATTTACATATTGTGTACTTAAATAGAAGTATGGACTAGGGATGACAATTTTTCCATCCTCACCGGGGCCCGTCCCGTCTCGTTTATAGCAGGGATGGGGATCCTTTTAGCTAAACGGGAATAGGGATGGGGACAAATTATGAATCTCTGCCGGGGCCGAGGACAGGGGCGGAAATGGAATAAACCCTCTCCGATTAAGTATGAAGTTACTAATATACCCTTACATATAATAATTTATTACTAAATTAGATTTATTATATATAGGAAAATAAGAAAAAATGTGTTTTTTGTTTAATAAAAAATTTATGAGGCCGAGGGTGTGAGCAGGGTGGGGCGGGGACGGGGATAAGGCGTCGGGGGCAGGAGCGGGTATGGGGATTCTGGCAAAATTTTAAGCGGGGATGGGGAATGAAAAATGCATCGGGGATGGGGATGGGAAATGGAATCCCCACCCCATCACGCCCCGTTGTTATCCCTAATATGGACAATATAACAGTAAGGTCCAAATTAACTAATTGACTTTTGGATATGAAAATAAATTTACATATACGACCTTAAGGCACTTAACCATTATTTAAAATAAAATTTTGGTAGGAAGGTGATGAGGGTAACTTACGTTTTTACCCCTCCTCGTATACAACGCAATTTGGCGGTAAACAATAGAGCAGTTTGGAACATGAATATGCTTATTGGCATTAGTACTAAGTACTTGGTGAATTAGTAAGGATAATATAATATATTGTGCTACACTTCAAAAAATACCACACTACATGACCAATGTATACACAGGCATACACTAACATGATCATAGCTGAAACACAAAAAATAAAGATGCATCAAAAGACCATTGTCTTGGCTATTCCTAATATAGCCTAAGTCGTTTAGTTACATGCAAAACATGGGTTAATGTAAGACATTGGTTTGATGGACCATTAATGTTCTATGTAAAACTTAATTCAAATAGTAGAAGAAAAAGTTTTGCATGGCGACGTAGAGATAAAGAGAAAGGGTACTTTTTGTCCTTTTTGAATTATGTAATTTCAATTCAATTAATGGACAATTTGGCCTTCTCACAATAGCAAGGTTATTTTTATCCAAAAATATAATTATCCTACATTGATTTGGTGCATCGCTCAAGATTGAAACCATAAGGGTGGTTCACGAATAAATTGCACATACTTTTATTTAGGTGTACAAAATGAAAACATCGTGGGTGTTATATGTAATTTGCCCTAAATAATTTGTTAATAGTCAACAAGCGAAATGTGATAAGGTTATTCACTCCAATGTGAATAGGGGTGGGTAAAAATTTCGCGAATCCGATTTGTTATCGAATCGGATCGAATTGTTAGACTTATATTGGTGATGGATTCAAAAATAGTTCACGAATCAAATCATAAATTAAGTTGTTACAAATGCGATCCGATCCCTGAATCTAATGTGTGGTCAATCCGTAGCATATGCATATATATATATATATAATATTAATATTATACAATTACACAATCCTATATATATATAATATTAGTGTTGGGACCACCTCACCTTGACAAATGGACTTTTTTGTCTCCCCCAACAAAATGGAATTTTTGGGAAAAAGAGAGTTTCTTGGTCTTTCGGGTTACTAACCAAGTTTGGCCAGATTGTCAAAACTACAACTTCCCCTTTTGAGTAATTTTACTCTTTCTTCATTCTTCATTGAATCAATCCTTCAGATCTTTCTCAAGGAAGACCAAAGAGAAAAGAATGCACCATATGGAAAAAGCAATCCACCCGACAACTGAGATGACGATCAACAAGAGCAAGATTGCGGTAAGTGATTCAAATACGAGACTCATGTAAAAATTGCAAAGCAATTTGTAGTACGATCTCTGATTATAATTTCAACCACCAATGTTAAAGTATAAAGGGAGACAACGATAATGAAAGTCATTGCTTCAACAAGATACGTCTCAAATGACGATTCCTTCATTCCTTGATGCTTGGTCTAGATTGTGGTACACAATATTGTAATTAGAAATGTAAGAGGTATGTTGTATCGGAGAGACATATTTGTGGCTCCTTCACTAGCACAGCCAAAGAAAAAGAGAGATTAAGTGTGATAATTCTTTCAAAATACATATATTTTGAAGGAAAAAGTTGTGATTATGTGGTCGTTCACAACTGTTACAAGTTCAATGTATCATATTTCTTGATCATGGATTAATATCCAAACACATAACTATTCTTTTTAAAGAGATATGTGTTAGACACGTATATTTATAACATGTGTGTGGCCTATATTGCCATAATACATTTATATTCTAATCCACTGCGTCTGACACAACGTTACACGTTGTGGGAAGTTACAGTAGCGTGGTTGTGGGAAGTTGATAGTGGTTATTATCTGATTAGTTTAAAACAAGGGTTAGTATGATGGATTGCTCTCTCTCTCGTTTCATTCATACAGAATCCTTACAGAAGTCCCATGCCTAACAAAAGTAGTCTGTATTGTCTCCATCAAGTACACGCATAAAGATTTGTATAGGCGTGAACATCATTAGGATTTCCAAATTTGTTTTGCATGCATTAACCAAATTGATTTCATGACTGGAGATAATGCGATCTCTTTGGATTTGATAATTTTTTTCATTTGGTATTAGAGCGATACCTTTTGGCTATGTTATTCTTCGATTTGTATGTCTGTAATATTTGTTCCGCGACTGTGTTGTCGTTCTTTTTCTAGCCTGTAATATTTGTTTAGTGGCTATGTCGCCGTTGTCTTTTTGGCCTGTAATATTTCCTTTGTGTTCTATTTGTTCTGTATTATTTTTGGTGGGTGTGTTTCTGTCTGTAATATTTTTCCAGTACTGTTTTATCGTTTAGTTACGTTGCCCGGCATGAAGTGGTAGAATACTACACCCATAAGGATTGCGATGAATAAAGTGTTCAGACCTGAGCGGTTTAACGACTGCTTTAAATATGGGAGAATGTCATCGTGAATTTATACAGTGGGAACAACATTGGCCTTTTTTATGGTAAAAATGATTCAGACCCGAGCGGTTTCACGACTGCTTTAAAAAAGGGTGAATCTCATCATAAGACCATAAAGATTTGTTTTATAATGAATTTTTATTTATGCAGAATACTTTGGAGTTGTATAGTTTTGAAAATTTCTATACAAATGAAGAATACTCCAGAGTTGTACAGTTACTGCTTTTTTTAAATAAAAAAAAAATTCATGTCCAATATATTCTCATACATACAGTTTATTAAAGTATGAGTATCACTACTATTTTAATGTGTATTTTTTAACCAGAGAGTAGCCACAGCATCTTTGGTTGTTGGTTTTGTGATATAAAATAAAAATAAAAAAATAAAAAAGTTTTAATATATGACATTTATATCACATAAAGATTATGCATTATGTGATACCCCTCGGATCCGAGACACGGGTTGATCAGGCCCAGGCCCAAACCCGAGGGAATATCAAACAATTAATATTTTATAATGAACACAGAATACAAAATAAATTAAGAAATGAAATTAAAGCTGGAAGGAACTAAAAATAGAATCCGCAAAATATTATAATTATTAAAATCCATCAAACCCAAACTCCAAAACTCCATCAGTTTACAACTTGGGAATCCATCTCTAGTGGACCCCTATTAATCATCCAAACGGAAGATAGAACAACTGTAATAAACGTCCAGAAATAAAACTATAGAGAGAGCCCTACATCGTCGGAAGAGTGAATAGAGACCTCTGCTCAGCACGAACACGTCTAAGCCTGGAACTGTCGTGTACCTGAAAAATAGAAGTGGGTCAGGCCCACGCGCAAGTTCTATACTACTACAATCCAAACAGAGACCCGACACGCATGTACACCCTAAACAATTCAACAATAGCTAATAATCCATAAATATATATAAAGTCACACTAAAGGACTCTCACTGGACTACAGGCCGGTCTCAACCTGAATAGAGGTAACATGCTAAAACGCACACGAAGTGGGCATATGTACCTATACCTAAACAGGGTACACCTCCAACCATCGTAGCCAGCTACACATCCCGATGCATATACGCTCCCTAGCCATCGGTCCTGAGGCTCAAGCTCATACCGAGGCACCATAACAGTACATATATAAAATCCATCCAAAATCCCTGGTATTGCCGCTCAACAAGTAGTTGTCATGACAATACAAATCTACGATACTTAACTTTTAGTTAATCCCATCCTTATTCCAAGTAGGTGGGTAATGGTATTGTTTTAAAAACCAAACCCATCCTTAGTATGCCACCGTCCCATACCGGTGCCTACTTTCCAATCCTCCAGTAGTCAATAATACCAATAAATCAAGTATATATCAACTAAATTCCAACATCCAACATTCAATGTTAGCAGTGAT